GGGAAGTGTGTTGTCTCGCCGACTGGATCTTGGCTTCCATCTTTTGTACACGCCGATCGGCCCTCTCAGTCGGCGAGACCGTTTGTATAGGTCTCTCCGGTAGAGAGGACCGAACGACGTCATACACGGCACAGTTAATGTGCCAGATGTCAGCCCCTTCCGGAAGTGTTCCTCGAAGTAATTCATCCATCCTCGCAAGGTCTTGAGGCCGCAGGGCCTTAATGTTGAGTAGGCTCCTGCGGTTCCTGATCTCGTTCACCTCAGGAAGCACACGGTCCCTTCTCTCGTTGTCGGGCAGAATGGGTGGAGCTTGTTGTTCCTCCACACCATCTTCCTGCCGAGAAGGGACCCTCATGTATTGCCTAGCGCGTAGGTGGGATACATAATCTCGCAGATTTTGAGCAGTGAATGCTCCATGCTCTGGGTGTTGTTCAATCCACAGAGCATGCATCCGCCTCATGTATCCCCTACGCCCTGGGTCACTGCTCTCGAAGCATTGCAGAAGATCGTCCCTCAGATCATCTGTCCACTCAAAGCGTCCATTTTCATCGCGGTCGTTATCAGGCTGTCCGTCCTGTTGGGCCCCACCACCTTGCCTTTGACCCTTATCCGGCTGGGGTCGGTTGTGGGGGCCCTGTCCTCTGTTTATGGGAACCAGAGTGATCGGACCTGCCAGGTGGTTAACCTAGCAGGCCCACGGCTGACATGAAAGGAGAAATGAATTTCTCCTTCTGGGTGCGCTCTCGCTGCCAGTCCGATTTTGCACCCTCAGCTCGGAAAGGTGGTGTCGCTACTCACCATAGGCAACCCTCTGAGAGATTAGCCCTCCTGCCTTATTATTATTATTATTATTATTATTATTATTATTATTATTATTATTATTATTATTATTATTATTATTATTATTATTATTATTATTATTATTATTATTATTATTATTATTATTATTATTATTATTATTATTATTATTATTATTATTATTATTATTATTATTATTATTATTATTATTATTATTATTATTATTATTATTATTATTATTATTATTATTATTATTATTATTATTATTATTATTATTATTATTATTATTATTATTATTATTATTATTATTATTATTATTATTATTATTATTATTATTATTATTATTATTATTATTATTATTATTATTATTATTATTATTATTATTATTATGTTCATGTGATTCCAGTCACGACCCTGCGGCCTCCGACGTCACGCAGAGTCGTGCTGGATAAAATCCAGTGACTACTCCTCACAGCCTGTGAGGTGAGTAATCACTGGGACCAAGTACCGTGTGCCCTGAGTAGACGCAATGATCCAAGTATGACGGCCTTCTGCATACCACCAGCCAGGATGTGTGCCTTATCACGGCACGCTGGGATTTTTATTATTATTATTATTATTATTATTATTATTATTATTATTATTATTATTATTATTATTATTATTATTATTATTATTATTATTATTATTATTATTATTATTATTATTATTATTATTATTATTATTATTATTATTATTATTATTATTATTATTATTATTATTATTATTATTATTATTATTATTATCATTATTATTATTATAATCAAAAATGGCATTTCTGTGCCTTTCTACTTTCCATTTTTACATATCACAATAATTGTCCACTTATCTCAAGAAGAACTATAAACACGAGCTATGCACAACTATCTACTTTGGAAGAAACTCTCTTAGTGATATTAGGTAACCATGGAATAATGGATGAAGGAATTTATACCTGGATACCGATTAGGCGCGTTCGACCCTGTCTATTCAATTTTGCTTGTGGTGGGACAGCTAATACTTGAAATGACCGCGGCGGCAGCACTCCCCAATGCCGTTCTGAAGTCATTTAGGAAGCTGCAGGGCTTTTTCATTCAACATAGATTCAAAAGCATCCTTCGTCCAATTTCAATGATTATGGTATCAAATGAAAGATAAAAGTCCAATCTACGTACGTGCTGTAAGGCTTTTTTGATATTTCCTACCCAAATTTCAAAAATCGGCCTCGAAGTAGCTTGATTTTGGTGGAATGTTTCGAATCATAATGGAAAAAATTTGAGGAAATTCAAAATTCCATTACAGGACGTACATAGATTCAGGTGTGATCTAATGGCCTGTTGTTGTTTCAAATCGATATGTTCAACCGTTTTCGAGAAATTTCGAATTTGCGTGACCGTGTTATATGTATAAATGCCACTGCGGTGATGGACTCTTAAGTTTGAATGCTAGAATTTTTTGTAAATTCTTCCGGTTTTTACGAGTGTTGTAATACATTCTATAGTAATGAGTATTCCTACTGCTGTACTAGCCCTAGGAAGGAGTCTTCCAAGTTATGTTTGAAGCCGATGAAGAGGTAGACTTCAGTGTTGAAAAAAGTAGATGGTTTTGCTGAAGAAACGGTACCCCGGTTTGCAAATCACAAATTCAGGCATTACTTCAGAATGTCCGCAACCACTTTTGATGACCTGCTAAACAAATTACTTGCGGTTTAACAAGATGAAGTGGTAGCTGCTAGACATCCAGAAATAATGCTAGAAAGGCAAGCCCTGATAGCAATTAGATGTTTGTCTAATATTGAAAGTTTTCGGTGAAAACAACTTTATCTTATGCCTTCCGTGGTACTTCAGTTTTTTTTGTTTTCAGTTCAGTTGCTGATCGATTTGGGATAACTAAATCAACATGCTGGGACGTTTTATATATATTCACAATTATAAGCTGACCATCAAGGAATTTTTTCAGGCAATCAATCGATTTGAAGGTGAGTTAACACACTTCACCTACCTCTTTCTGAGATCATTGTTTTTCAGGGGTGATTGGCTGCATAGATGGTAGTCATATCAAAATTCTACCTCAAAAAAAAAAAAAACTTAATTCGTATTGTGATAGAAAAAAATCACCTTTGGTTTTGTTGCAAGGAGTATGTGATAATGAGAAATAATTCATCCATGTGTGTGCTGAAGAACATGGCTCAATACATGACAGCCGCCTGTCAGACCTTTTTGATGGTATTCCAACAGGAGAATTTCCTTTTCTCAACGATAGTCACATGCTGGGTGATTTGGCATACAAATTGACAGACTATATTATGCTGGTTGGTTTCAAAAATAATTATAAATTATCATACAGGCAAAGCAACTTCAATTTGAAGTTGTCACAAATAAGAGTACACATCGAGAATATTTTTGCATTGCTGAAAGGTCGGTTTCGGAGGCTTAAATTAATGGAGACAAGAAGACTGGACCTGATTTGTTTTTTAATTATTTCTGCCTGCATTTTACACAATATTTTTATGAGAATGGAGAAGATGAGGCTGAAGATTCAACGGACCCCCAGCGGGAATGGGAGGAAGAGAGGAATCAGATTCATGAATTTGATAATTCACGGGGCAATCAGTTGGCCATTGCCAAAAGAGTAAGAATCATGAACCAGTTACACGTATTTTTTTTTACACATATCTTGATTTTTATGAGAATATTTTATTGAAAAAAAACTGGTCTTTAAAACTACTTGATGATGAAAGCTTTTGATTTTAACCTGAATCTTTTTTGCATTGCACATGAACATATAGCAACTCTACACTTAAGGGGTATGTAACAGGATTCACCAGAAAATAATAGTGTGTACTAGGAACCTAAAACAGTCTTTTAATAATACCTCTGAGTATATCACATATCAATAGATTAAAACACTAATACTGCTTTTCTAATATAATAAAACGTGCACAGGATCTTTTTCTCATGGTTGATTTACTTATGGGGTTCTAGCAAATTTGGAACGATAACCATCAATGAGCAAAAAATTCCCAGATTGCAACAAATTCATCAGACCTTTAATTTCAAAGAATACCATATACAGGGTGGTTCTTATTTGTGGAACTGAAATTCGACTATTAATAATTTAGGCGTAATGCGTAATATACATGATATCATTAAACATCGAGAGGAGGGATATAATAAAATGGACTCCTTTAAGGACACAATTTCTACAAACTTGTTGTAAGTCGAGAAGTTATATATAAGATTTACATTTACTAAAAGTGCCGGAGCACATGGTGACCGGTTATCACAGAAGGCTAGGATTATGAAAATAATTCATTTTTCCACCTGAAATTCGACCAGGGGCCCAAGTTTTGAATATGAGTGAAAGTCAATTCACATGTGAAATATTTCGATTTTCAATTCACCTTCGAAATGTTATCCCTAGTTTTCAATTGCAATGAAATGAAAAGTGTATAAATTCACTCATATGAATTTAATTCGAACGAGACGATCTGACAACAATGGAATAATTCATTTCTAGCCGTCACATACAAAAAAAGAAGAATAATTGAGGTTAAGACTGCGGAATTTGTGATTGTGAAATTGAAAATATTTGTTTGGGACGTTTGGAGTGATGGCTACTCTGAAAAATAAAAGAGTTTTTGTAAATAAACAACAAAAAGAAGCGCTGATTGAATACATGGAAAAAAATCCAATGTTGAAAAATCCACCCCAGCTGAGCAATAAACTTACCAAAAAAGATTTAAACAATAAGTGGGAGGACTTGGCCAGCACTTTAAATGAAATAGGAAAAATGACAGGAGGATCAGTTAAGGATGCTCATACATGGAAAAAGGCAAGTGCACCTCGAAAAATAAAACATAAAGTATAAGTTAATTCAGACTATTTTACAAATCTTTACCTCAGTGGCATAAAATAGCAAGATCGATGTTTCACCTGTAAATAGACCATCAAAGAATTGCTAATTATTCCTATCAACATTTGATACTGCAAATAGTTATCTGGAACCTTATCTGAAGTCTCATCTCGAGTCTCATTCACCTTCTCACATTTTCAAGTGCACTACTGAAAAATGTATTTTTCCTTTATTACTAAAATAATGTCATGTTTACCATGCCAAGGGGGTAAATATATTTTATCATATCATTTGAATTTCAATTTTGCTTATTAGATATTTTATTTCAGACATGGCAGGATATGAAAAGTAATGTTAAGAAGAAGGTAGCTGAGACTCGCAGGTATGAAAGGGGTACAGGAGGAGGTCCTCCATTACCAGAAGTTGATAAAGAGTATGACAGAATGAAAGAAATCTTAGATCCTGTGGCAATAGAAGGTGACAGTAATATATTAGAGTCCATGGTAATTGAAATTTTTAACGAACCTGACACAGTAAATGCAGCTGAAGATAACCGAGAAGAAAACACAGTACATGAAGTGGAAGATGAATTGATACTGGAAGAACACCGTAATCCATCATCTGTAATGAAGCCGGAGTCAATGAAGCCCTATGTACACATTAAAAGTTTCTAATAAAATTTCTGAAGAAATTGCTGCAAAAACTGCTTTAAAACAAGAGTATTATACAGAAAAACAAAAAATTTTGAAAGAAAATACAAACATTGAGAAAGAAAAACTGGAGTTAATATGGCAAGACATTGAAATCGAAAGAGAAATTTCAATTTCATTGCAACTAATTGGTCAGTGCCTTAGTCCCTCTGATTTTGTGTCTTGAGGTGGGAAAAGTATCTCCTATCATTGTATATATAAAAAAGTACCAAATGTTCCATTTCTTGTTATGTTATATTATGTTTAAGAGTGAATTTTGTTATGTTGTAGGGAAACATGTTTCTACAGGTGTTTATTTATGTCATGGAAAGTATAGAAAAATACTTTTGGCACTAATATCTAAAAATTTATTTTGTTTTCAATACAATTGAATATATTTCATCAATGTAGCAGTCTTATATAATTTGCAACAAGTTGGGCTCTCATCCTCTCTCCCCTAACTAAATCAGGGTTTCTTCTCACTCTTGGATCAACATTTCGGTCTAAATGAAACATCCCAAAATCTACATTATGTAATTCTTGGTCTGCTGGTGGTAAGTCAATATTATTTTCCACACAAAAGTTGTGTAAAACCGCACAAGCATTTATTATTTTTGAAGCTTTTGTAGGACTGTAATGGAGTACCCAATGTTTTAACAAACACCGAAATCTCGCCTTCAACACACCATTGCAACGCTCTATCGTACATCTAGCAGTTTTAAATGCAGCATTGTATGATGCTTCTGGTGAATTGGGTACAGGATTCAAAAAAGCGGTTTGTAAATATGTCCTCAATAGGTATCCTGAATCTCCTAGAATAAAACAAAGTGACTCTTCATAAAAGTTGGCATGTTGTGAATATATAATTTTCATTTAAGTATATCAAATACCATTTGAAGGTCATATTCAAGAATGATGATGACCTTGACTTCAGCACATATACACACCTATCAGAAAAAAAGATGTGTCCCCATCCTCACCATTGTGTATATGCTCTAATAAATGTTTTACATTACTCTGTCTCCAAATATGAGCATCATGTGTTCTTCCAGGAAATCTGGCATTTATATTCATTATTCGGAGATTCGCATCACAAATCTGTAACAAAATTGAGCTTCTGAAAATGTCTCTTCAACATAATTTAGTATTATTCACAACTTGCACCCTTACCAACTGTGTATTTATTGAGTGGTAATTTTTTCGATTTATATATAAGTGCTCTGGGTAATTTGCATCTCTAGCACTTGGAGGCACAATGGCAACATGAGTGCAATCTATCACACCCACACATGGTAAATTAAATTTGTCAAAAAATCTGATGACAAAGGAATATTAAGTTAAATGAGAAAAATTAGTAATCTTACTATTACCTACTCTCTACGTTTAACTGTCAACTCATTATTGTTTCTTGGGAAGTGAATGTAATGATTAAAAATATGGGGTAGATTCAGAGCATCAGTTACCTCCTTCAAGCAATTACTGACACTGTGCTGACTAACTGCTGAATATATATTCAGTCCAATGTCAGTTTGATAACTACCACTGCCAAAGAACCGAAGAGCTGTCAGCACCTGAAATGAATAAATTTTAACTTATATGAAGATTATTTGGAAAACAATCTTCCTGAAGGCACAGATACTGCTTATATTACCTTAGTGGCTTTATCAATAGCTGATGCTCTCGTAGGAGCTGTCAAATGGGGTTCTAACAAATTTATCAGTTGTCGAGCTGCTTGTTTAGAGAGAGTCTGTAAATTTTGAGAAATTGACGATCACTTAGATTAAAAGGGTCTTGTCTCAAATGGTGCAGCACTGTTCTTGGTGTTAAAAAGTCATCTTCCACTAGTTCCACAACGTTATTCACCATTATTTGTTGAAATTCCTCCAAATTTGCCATGTTATTGTATTGAAGACAAACCTTTCGACGAAATATAAGAAAAATGAACCGTTCAAAAAATGTAAGCCATGTAGGTAGTTATCAAACAAAATGAGAAAAGATGTACCCTCGGATTTACCTTCAAATCACTTCACGTCCAAGAAAATTACGAAAATATTCCTAACCAACAAATGTTATTTCGCAAGTGAATAACGCATTTCGAAGGGTAAATAGTGTGCGAATTATATTGGTGAAAATATTTCGATTTCGAATTCAATTTCATGGACGAAATCAGTTCAAAACTTGGGTTGGTTCGAAAATTCGAAATATTGCGAATTTCACTAGTGAAATATCTCAAAACTAGGCCCCCAGGCCACAATCACGGAGTGTTTCCGTGATTTGAACCACTCAAAGGTTCGAATACCATTTATATAATGGTTAAATTTCAAGAGCTTTAAGTATTTCCTTTGGATTTTTTCCTAATAAATGATGATATAGTTAGTATAGTTTTTTCGTGTATTTGTATTGCTGTCTCTAAAAACTTCATCTGCATATTCGTCTACAAATGCACCATTGAAGAATATTAGTATCACAATTTATCAACATGGAATAAGTCAGGTGACTACTGAAATCGACTCTAGGATATTGTTTTCCCTATCTAATATAGCTAAGTATTGATTAACTACGAATATCTTACTCAAACCAGATTAACCAGAATATCTTACTATCAACATTTTGTTCAGTATTTGGACTCCCGATGACAAGTCTTTTCACACTAGAGCAAGTTGCTATGGCATCAGTCTCAGGTTTGGAAAAAAGTACTTGGTCCAATGAATCACAATATTTTTAGTATCTATGATTATTACGAGACTGCTCATTGTGCTCATTGACTATTATATAAGTGTTTATAAGTCCCTTCCATTTAGTGTCACACTGCTGAGGAGTGTACACCTGCTCAAATTTATCACTGAGTTCTTTAGCTATTTCACTCCATACATACTTTTCAATTCCATTTGAAAATTCTTTGTAATATTATTTGCATAAACTTATTGAAAACTCAATACTGATATTGTTCCAAAGTTTAGTGGTTTCTGAAATGAAATAATTATATCAATTTCTTCAAAAACAGGGCAGTATAGCTATAACTGATAATTAATTTATCACTGCAATCAACATTCATCTTTACCCATAACTTAATTTACGTACCATATTCGAATGTACTTGGGGTGACGGGGATTCGGAGTGTTGACTTGACGAAAGAGGAGATTGTTGGATTAAATAGAATGCTGCAACAGAATTTTCTTTTTACCTTGTTTTTTCTGATGCTTTTCGAAAAAATGTGGTAGCAAGAGCTCAATCTGAAACAAAAATCAATAAGATTTAACCAAGCCAAAACCTTTCTATACGTATTTTCATTTCCATTTATTTCAGTGAAGTCCTCGTCCGTTACAGAAAAGGTGACGTTCTTTTGTTGTCCAACATCAGAATGGTTTACGTTCTTCATTTCATCAGCACTAAGTACAGTGACAATAATTGAACACAACCTCACAAATACAGATTCATCGCTCTGCTTGGTCAAAATTCTCTGGTCATAATGATCGTCGTCAGATCGCTCCGATTTTTATTGCCAAACGGTTAAGATTCACCTCCTTTCTTATCGGTTGGAATAAACGAACGACACAGACCGAGCACTCCGACGTGAAGACCGAACGCAGCTATTGGTGCATGCATAACCAGGCGTTCCATTTCAATCAGCATTGACGTTTGTGGGCTGTTTCATATTTGAATCGAAAAGAATTCAGACTGAATGCGTGCCCTGTGGTTGTCATTTCACATCTAACAGTAACAAAAAACGATCTCGAATTGCATCCCATGTTCACCTTGCCCAAAACGAAGAATCAAAGATGAATAAGGCCTTGGCCAAGAAAGTAGTGTTGATAGCAATGTGCGAATTTTGTGAAAGTGATAGTAGTTCTAGTTCAGATTCTGATAGTTCAGATTCAAGTGAATGTTTTGAGGATTTGATGTTGAATGAATTAACACTGACTGAACAAAACGGTATTTATTCTATCATGATGATTGAAGAGATACGAGGAGAACAAGTACAGAAGGAAACAATGTACTATGCTGAACGTATCATCCCCGGATAGTATTCAATGACCAATTCAGGTAGTTATTCTCAAATCGACTTGGCTGATATACTTTATTTATATTATTGATTCAGATCATTCTCAGATACGTTTGAGGAAGTGTTTATTGATGTTGGTAGGACCAGCCCTCAATACAAACAACCCCTCAGTTGGGGAAAGAACCGAAGGAACAGCTTTTCGTGGCTTTATGGTTCATATGCACACCAGACTCTTACAGGTTATATACTGGGATGTAAGATAAGCCATATCTTTTATATTGCCAGGTCTGTTTGTGCGAAATTTCGCATTGGGAAAGCAACAGCACTCAGAGCTTTGAGACGAGTGACATTATCTCCATTGACGGGCCCCAAGAATCATGAAGTGGCATAGACATCAAGCAAGTCGAGTTATGGAAGGATTTGAGAAAAAAGTAGGTTTTCCTGGCGTTCGTTGCGCTGTTGATGGTTGTCACATCAAAATAAGGAAACCAACAGTAGATCCTTTGTCATATATAAATCGAAAGGGATTTCATTCCATCAATCTTCAAGTAGTATGTGAATTCTCGGCGATTATTTACAAACTGTTTTCTTGGATATCCAGGGGCCGTTCATGATGTGAGAGTTTTTCAGAATTCACCGGTGGTGGAATACTTACTGGAACAACCACAAGAAAAAGTTCCTAATAACTCACCTTATGGTACCATCCAGAGATAATAGGCATTTAACTCGGCGACAAAAAGAATCAATGCTTGTCTGCTACAAATGTAGTTATTGAATATTCCTTCACACTGTTGAAATGAAGATTCAGCATTTTGTTGGACTGTTTGCCACTTTGGAATATTAGGAAGATCAAACTCCTTAATCATGCAAGGAATGTGAAAGGACAAGAAAAGAGAAATTACATTACAAATAACCTAATAATAGGAAACTGACCATTTTTTGGTTATAAATGAAGAGAGAAATCAAATATTCTTTATTAAAG